ACTTATCGAAAGACAATTAATTAGTTCGTAATAAACATTTATATTATTCATAAAATTACTTAGTTACCCAGTTCGTATTGTGACATGTAAACTCTCAGAGTACACATGGGGGAGTGTGTAGCGAACTGGGCTCATTACGGAGCTTTACGAAGCCAAGACGAACATTGACATATTTTGTGATGGGTCACGTGATTAACAAGCATGCGAGACTAACCAGCGAGAGAGAAACAGTGAGAAATCAGTGAGAGAGATTTGTATTTTATTATTATTATAAAGTTATTATTATTTTGTTATCGTGATTTGCCCTGGATACTTCTCAGGGAGGCGAGAATTCAGGACACCTGATTTTAAATTTGGACACAGGATAGCAAGACTTAAGTATCCATTGGCATAGTCAAAAAATTCTCTCCTCCATAGGTTTTCTCTCAAAAAAGATTCAAACTAAAATTGAACTTTGAATTTATATAGCTTGAATGTTTGGACACTGCTAACTGGAATATCTCTATTACTCAAATGTGCATGCAGGATACCAGTTTAATGAAGTTGCTAGTATATATCCCCCAAGAATATAAAACCTGGCGGACATAATAAACTGGGAGAAGTGGTAAAAAGCCGGGGGATATGTCTGACTTCATTATCAAATCTCCATACTGGTGGCCATATTTAGCTGTTATTTCTAGTCATTAAGTTGCATTCACTACCTTAAGACAATAGCCAGCTTGGTAGCCTTACTGGGGGGGTTGCTAAAGTGCGAGCCTGCGAGCCCGAACCTTAATTTGCGAGCCCGAGCCTTAATTTGCGAGCCGCGATCTTTCATTTGCGAGCCTTTCATTTGCGAGCGATCTCAGCCATGCATGGATGATTTTATTGATGAAGATATTAAACAAGGTAATAAACAATTAATATTTTAATGTTTTCTTTTTTATTTGTCTATCGATGTGAAAGAAATATTTTATTTTTAAACGCTTGATTTTATATTACATGTATACAGCTGAAGAGTTGTCGGAACTGAGTATACACGACACGAAGGTTAGAATATAATCCATGTATTACAAAGGAACCTCCGCTATTTTTATAGAGGTTGGTATGCTATTTTATAGAGGTTGGTATGCTATATATATTTTCGAACATCAATATTTTTTGAAACAGCTTTGCTCATTTGTCTATATTTTATGTATGGCTGAGGGAATTAAAGTCATGAATACCGTCCTTATAATTTCAAAAATAGATGAGGCTTTTTTCATTATTTATTATTTTTAGAAATGTGTGAATATATATTG